CGAATTAAAAAAAGATAAAAAAGTATCTTTTTTTTTTTTTTGTCTTTTAACCGCTGTGTATTGCTGGTTGCTCAACCAACATCTGTAACAGTTGCCGTCGTCATCATCGTCATTATTCGACGTCCTAAACTTTAAATGCCTAGACTAGAAAATACCTACCGCTAGTAGACACAATGCGAAATACATATAGTAAATAGTTTTGTATGAAAAGAAAAGGGAAGCAAAAAAGAACTATTACAAGAGAATGTAGAATAATGTAATTTGAACAAAACTAGTAAAAATTGTTTCATTCTCAAAATGTATCGGCATCTGTGCACACAAAAAATTTCTTCACCCACAACCAAATCCTTTTTTGTCCCCTTTTTTTTTTTTGTTTGAGTCCAATCTAGCTTAGTTATGTCACTATTCATTGTCTCTATATACCAAACGCTATGACATGTGTAAAAACAACGGCCTTTCAATAGCCATAATTATAGTGTTGTTAAATGAAATTGAAGAAAAAAAATTAACAAAGAAATTTTGCACAATTTTTGCATTTTTTTAGCACATATTTTTTTTTAGAATTTTTCTATTTTTATTTTTGCTACCAGCTAAAAAGATTAAAAAACAACAACAACAACAGAGCATCTATTGTCTTAGACAATAAAAAAGGAAAAAGGAAAAAGATGCAAAGCCAACAAAGAAAAACCATTTTTTTCCTACTGTTGTTAAGATCCAAAAGAAAAAAAAAAAAAAGAAATAGAAGAAAAATTAAAGACAACAATAAATTTTGTTTGAATTTTCTTTTTTTTTTTTTCTGATACTCAATTCAAACAAATCTTTTTTTGTTGTCAGATTTTTTTCTTTCGTTTCTGACTTTTTTTTGGAGCTTTTTTTTCTTCCACTGTTTCTGCTGTTGAATTCGGTCATTTTTTTTTTTTTTTTTTGACCATAAATCGATTTTTGTTTAGCACTTCATCGGAAGGCAGCTTAAATTCTATTTGACAGATTTGATAGCATTGCCATCACCCTGCAATCACCATCACCATCTCCTATCAAACCATCCGAATATTTTTGGCCACTATCAGGGGAATTGCAGAGAAAATGGTG